GATTTTCCTCCAGCACCAAAGTTCAAAAGCGTCTATCTTCCTTCACTCAGCCTTCCTTATGTCCCAGCTCTCACATCCATAGGTTACTCTGGGGAATACAATTGCTTTAAGCATGCAGAGCTTCGTTGCAAGTGTGATGTCTCTATTCATCAGTATTTTATCGAGATTGGTCATTGCTTTCCTCTCAAGAAGTAAACATCTTCAGATTTCCTGTCTGCAGTAATCTTCACACCTAGAAATACAAAGTTTGTCACTGCCTCCATGTTTTCTCCCTCTATTTGCCAGTTATCAATCAGGCTGGTTGTCACAATCTTGTTTTTTTTATGTTTAACTGCAACCCAGCTTTTGCAATTTCTTCTTTCACCTTGGTTAGAAGACTCCTCGGCTCCTCCTCACTTTCAGCCATCAAAGTGGTATCATCTGCATATCTAAGGCTGTTAATGTTTCTTCCAGCAATTTTAACTCCAGCCTTGGATTCATCAAGCCGTGCATGTCACATGATGTGTTCTGCATACAAGTTGAATAGTTAGAGTATACAGCCCTGCCGTACTGCTTTCCCAATCCTGAACCAGTATGTTGTTCTGTGGTCTGTTCTTACTATTGTTGTCTTATGTTGACATAAGACAAAAGAGAGAAGTCTGGGTCTTGGCTATTTTTGTGTTTCCAGAGATAAGAACACATCATTTTGTCTCCATCCAGCAGACATTGGTGGCTGATATGTGAAATCTGTATACCTTTCTGGAGCAGTAGGATATCATGTCTCTCATGTCATTAAGCCAGTAAATCTACTGTTTGAAAGACATGCCTCAATATCTTGAATAGTTCCTTTAATGTTTGAACTGAAATTCACTGTATGGACGTGGGAGTCACCGGCCTCCACTGCTTGGAGAAGGGTTTGTGATAGCTATAAATGTCATAGTTTAAAAAAGGTGTTTTGAGAACTGTGGGACAGTTGCTTAATTAATTAAGGAGTCCTGTTTTGCACCATTGTAAATCCCTATCAATGTCTTGGATAAAAATACCCAAATCACCATGAGACAATTTGGGCCCTCTTGCTTTCCAATACATTTTTTAAAATCAAACAGCAACTAAAACAAGAAATCATGTCCCATCTTTTCCAGTTCTTTTCACTTAACTTGATAACATTTGGAATGATTAGCTAGTTTTTGCACGCTATTGCAGAATTTTAGTTGGTCCCACAAAAACAGTAATGCATTTCTAGATTTGGGAACAGCTAGTTGTGGCAACTAGGAATGCACCTGTGTTCAGCAGGTGCAGATTGATGGGTGACTCCAGGGAATAATAAATGCCTCACTTTGTCAGAGTGAGATGCCTGTTGCATACATTCCTTTTTGGAGCAAGTTGCAAAAGGCTGCATGACTGCAGACATTCTTGGAGGAAACAGATTATTCCAAAGCTTTAGAGGCTAGATTGTGGCACCAAAATAGCCTTTGCTGTTCTAATTGATGACTCACTTTGGATAAAAGGTGATTGGGGGGGATGCAACCCTGTTGATTCTGCTGGATCTTTTGACAAGTTTTAATATAACTGATTATACCACAATGGGTATTATGGGTGAGAATAGGCTGTTCTTCTGCTCTTACCTACACAGTAATTTGCTGAGAGTGGCACTAATGGGCTGTATATAGAATATCTATATATCTTGCATCTTGTACATGAAATGAGTAGGCTAACCAGGGAAATTTGCTGAACCATTTGGGCTGAAATCTTAGAAGAGAAGGTAATGATAGTGTGAATAATCAAAATTTGGTTGAAATAGTGCTTGTAGTTCTGGAGAGACTCTAATTTTTGTTTCTCATATGCTTGGCAAGGGGATTTGGTTAACAAGTTAAAACAAGGGTTTTTTTTAACCTGAATTTGGGGGGGGGGGCTGAACACTTTGGTTGATTAATCTCGCGTCTATGTATTTCAGTGTTTCTCAACCTGGGGGTCGGGACCCCTGAGGGGGTCACGAGGGAATGTCAGAGGGGTCAAGACCATCAGAAAACACAGTATTTTCTGTTGTTCATGGGGGTTCTGTGTGGGAAGTTTGGCCCAATTCTATCGTTGGTGGGGTTCAGAATGCTCTTGGAGTGTAGGTGAGCTATAAATCCCAGCAACTGCAACTCCCAAATATCAAGGTCTATTTTCCCCAAACTCGATCAGTGTTCACATTTGGACATATTTTATATTCGTGCCAAATTGTTGAGACAGTTTTAACTAGTGGATTTTAATGTCGAGATATGTGATTTTAATGCTTTTGTATGTATGGTCTAATATGTTTTGGCATTGAATGTTTGTTGTTTATATGTTGTGATCCACCCTGAATCCCCTTCGGGGTTAGAAAGGTAGGATATAAATGCTTTAAATAAATAAATAAATAAATAAATAAACAAACAAATAAATAAATTGGTCCAGCTCCATCATTGTTTGAGTCCACAGTGCTCTCTGGATGTAGGTGAACTACAACTCCAAAACTATAGGCCAATGCCCACCAAACCCTTCCAGTATTTTCTGTTGGTCATGGGAGTTCTGTGTGACAAGTTTGCCCCAATTCTATCATTGGAGGAATTCAGATGGCTCTTTGATTGTAGGTGAATGTTATGGTTGAGGGTCACCACAACATGAGGAACTGTATTAAGGGGTTGCAGCATTAGGAAGGTTGAAAACCTCTGCACTAAAGGATGAAGAAATTTTGATCCTTCAAGAGAGAAAAGTGTTAAGAACATTTCTGCCCAGAACTAGTTTGCCTTGAGCTGTTGTGGACTTTGCTTTGTGGAGCTCAGTAATACATTAAGCCATTGGTTCTCAACCCATGGCTCCCCAGATGTTTTGGCCTTCGACCTCCAGAAATCCTAACA